GCAGAAGAATAGTGGAATTGCGTAGCAAATACTTAGAACAAATAACTAAATATAAACAAGAACAACGACAAATTTTCTATTCGAACGAAATTTCGTATGACACTCATGACATAGTTACGAAAAGGTGGACTGATGGTTCGAGAATGTGTACGCATAACATGCCTGCAAACAAAGGATCGCGACTAATCATTGCGCAATGCGGAGGAAGTGAAGGATGGGTTCCGAATTCTTTGGAATTATGTGGAATTATCAGAAGCTTTCGAAGAAAGTTAGGTTAGGTTAGGTTAGGTTAGAAGGATTTTCAATCATCACTCTGTTATTTGAATCCCTACTTTCCCACTCATCTATATAAACGAAATATAATCATATAGAATCATCAGAAATGATCATTGAATAACAAAATTAGTTAGCTCCCTAACTATAATTTTGAAGGTGAACTGTTGAAAGGTAGGTTGCCCTATATCGTTTACTTGAACTATACCTATTGATTGACTGACTGTATTAATGTACAGCTGAAGCTACTGAACCTAGAATCTTGAAGCACCAAAGTAATATAGCAATCACATGTATTTTCTTATGGCGCTTCATTCTGGACCTTTTTGGACCTCAGGCCCAATTCACCCGGAAGGGACAAAGGTCAGCGCCTCATCTCTGCCAGACATCCATTCTGTGTGAATTGGGTCTCAGACTTTTAGAGCTCACTCCTCAACTCTTCGTCATTCTCCAGTCGACCAATCAGAAGCTATCGCGCGTAAAGCGGGAAATTCGAACCACCAGTAGATGAATAAGGCGGGTTCTGGCATAAAATCCCATGTATTTTCTTATGGAGCTAAACTTTTTGCAATTTTCGTGACATCCTAGTGGAACCTTATGGAACACCCAACTCGAGGTAGGTGTGTTTCGGAGAGTAGGAGATAAAAACATGTGACGTAATCGATGCAGAGAAGGATGGAATGAGTGTCGTAGAGATTCAAAGAGCGTGGAACTCCGCCTTGTTCATCTACTGGTGGTTTGAATTTCCCCGCTGTACGCGCGGTAGTTTCTGATTGGTCGACTGGATAATGACGAAAAGTTGAAGAGTGAGCTCTGAAAGTCTAAGGGCCAATTCACACAGGATGGATGTCTGACAGAATGAGGCGCTGACCTTTGTCCCTTCCGTATGAACTGGTCTAAAAAGGTCCAGAATGAAGCGCCATAAAAAAATACATAGGATTTTGAGCTGGAATTCTTGTTAATGTATCACTCACAAAAAAAGGGAATCAGGAATTTCCACCTCCAAACGGGAAAAATAGGGGTTCAAAGACTGAATTGAATTTCGTCAGTTTTGAAGTTGGAAACCTGAAGTTTTAGGTTAATAAAAAATATTGTAGTAATTAATTTTTTTACTTTAAGAATACAATAACTAAAAAAATATGCCAGCTGCAATAAGTACTGGATAGCTTCGAGAATCGACTCATGTTACCTATAATGCAGATCTTGGAGCAACACGTAGTACCATTCGCCCCATATATCGGCGATAATTTCTTACAAATTCAAGACAACGCCAGACACCATGGTGTACAGGTAGTACGAAATTACCTCTAAGTGGTTGAAATTAACACCATGGCATGGCCAGCACGTAGCCCGGATTTAAATCCAATATAAAATATCTGGGTTACCCTTTGTAGGCCATTAAGAGAGCACCCGATCCAACCAAACAACCTGCAGGAACTGGGGGAAAGACTGATTCAGGTTTGGAGAGAACTGGACCAGAATGAAATACGCCACATAATTGAATAGAACTGGCCGATACTTGATGAAAATCCATATTGAAAAACTAATCAATACAGTTTATTGTATGATTTTCACTATAAGGGTTTTACAACACGTGACACGTTTTACGTAGCGACACGTGTTTCGCTATACAATAGCTTCTTAGAACATACATTATGCGTGTTTCGCTATACAATAGCTTCTTCAAGCATAGATTATGTGTGTTTCGCTATACAATAGCTATTGTATAGCAAAACACGTGTTGCGGTTTTTGTAAAACTAGTAAAAATCATACAATAAACTGTATTGATTAGTTTTTTAACGGCACATAAGTTCTGTATATTTTCGTAAAATTTTTTTCAACAATATGTTGTTTGTAATCAACTTTTTTTTTCTATGTTACGCCAACCCTCGATTTTAGTATCACAATTACTAATACTATGTAGGTTAATTCTGGAGATGTTTCGTTTCTCATTTCTCCTCTGACTACAAATAAAATTGATTCATTGAAGTAGTACGTTGATTTCTTATAATCCGATTCTTTATTTGTTATCTATCTTGTGCTGCTTTTATATCGTTTTCTCTATTTGTACTCTAGAACAAAACACTAGAAACTTTCAAAACTCACAGGAATTATTATTCTCATCAAAATATTGATGAAATTCTGAAGATTTTTGGAATTTCTTCCTGACGTTTCGCTCGCGCGAGTGGCTAGCTTCTTCAGAGGTTTATACTTTCTGAGTTTCTCCATCGGAGATATACCCTCAGGATGTATAAACGGAACATCAGGAATAAATTCCAAAAATCCACGGCCTTCAAACCAGGGAAATAGTAACATTGTCATTGATGAAGTTAATGAGCACCTGGTTTTCAAGTAAACTAGTGATGATGTTCATGAAAATATTTATTTTTCAATAATGTTATCGCGAAGTGTCTGATTTTCGTCTATCCATTTTCTATGTGAGTTATAAATAATCATCTGGTTTGTTTCCAGAAATACCCGTCACTTATGACCATGACCTGAATATCATCAAATCGGGAGGCGTAGAATTCATCGGAGTGGAGACTTCGAAAGCCCCTCTTCGGCAATCCAGCCACAGTGATCCCCTTCTTGAAACCTGTGAGTTCATCCATTACGATAGCCCTGAGAACGAATATGATTTGGATAAATCTTTGAATATCGCATTAGAGATCATCTCACAGAACACCACTGGACTGATTAAGCAAATCAAAATATGCGAGGTCGCACCTAGCGATACGGACGAACTACACAAAAAACTAGCAGAAAAAATCAATAGACTAATACTAGCTGAGGTTGACACTTGCAAATGTGAACCACATGAGATAAACTCCGAGTATGATGTGATAGCTCTCTCGAATGAAGTGGACATCAAGTTGGAATCTCTCGCAGAACATCTAACCACTACTGGCTTCATCCTTTATAAGGGATCTTACAGAGAGGACCAAACTTCCACTTTGCAAATCATTTTCAGATCAACAGCCGGTGAAGATGGCCTCTTCTTGCTCAGGCCCCGCTTTGAGTTTCCTGCGAACTACGCCGTGGTCAACATCCGCAACTCTGACTTCGATTGGTTGGACAAGCTGAAAGCTTTATTGAAAACTGAAGAAGGCAAAGTAGTTTATCTCTTCAGCCAAGGGGAGGAAATGAATGGGATCATGGGTTTGATGAAATGTTTACTTGCTGAACCGAGTTTGCTCACGTTCAGAGCTATTTTTGTGGATCAGGAAACCGATACGTTTTCTATAGACGACGATTTTTATCGAGAGCAACTCAAGAAAAATCTCACCTTCAATATATTGAGGAATAACGATTGGGGTACTGTCGTCCATTTGCCTCTACTGCAAGTAGAGCAGAAACCAGTTGGGAATGCGGCGTTGGGTATTTCGTCGGTTGGTGATCTGTCCACACTCAATTGGGAAGAGAGGCCCCTGTCGTCGATAAAGTAAGTGAGTCATTCTTTTTGTAATTTGCTTCATGGCCACTTCTGGGAACTATGAATCAATGGCCAACAACGTCTATTTCCCCAAAAGTGACGATAAAGATATACAGTACTTGAAATTTAAAAGTGATACTAGTTCGGTGTTGAAATTAAACTTGTTTTGAATTAAGGTCAGGTCAAGTCAAGTGTTTCAAATATGGCAAAAGATGTTCGTGTCTCTAATCAGGTAGATGGCTCTTTTCTGTATGGGATCCAGCAGCTTCAAAGTATGCTTGGGGGCGGAGCTCCATACGTGAGAACAATACTCCAAAGAAGTTCTGATCTGAGCTTTATGAAGCATCAAACGTTGCTCAGGTGTGTACAGTTTTCTGGTTCGGAACAGTGTTCCAAGCTTTTGACAAGCAGCCTTTGCAATTCCAGCGATAAGATTGTGCCAAGACTTATTGGTGTCCATTTTAATCCCCAACAAATTTATCGAAGCAGAATTGTCTCTCCTGACATTATCAAAGTTGAAGTCACCAGTTTTATTCCATTGTGGGAGGCATGGTTTCGTTTCTATTGGCCGAGCTGAATGACCTCTTTTTGAGAATAAATTTAGCCAGACTTTTTTACGTTAGTTCCCTCTTATAACCAACTGGAATTGTTTTTGTGGGATCTGGTATATCCCCGATTGTACTAAAACTCTCTGAGATTTTGAGCTGATGGTTTGTGTTGGCCTAAATACCGATTTCACGTTGTATTTTTCCAGAATTCTCTCAATGCGGTCCGTATCATTCTTCACACAGGAGAGGAACATTTTTCCATTGACAAGCTTATTTGCGTTAGCTCCTTTCAGCTTGACTCATCTGTCTGTGTGTTGATTTCCTTTGCACTCTATGTACCAATGCCCCAACCTTTGTTCACCAGCATATCCAAAGCGACTATTGTTCCTTGGGATTTTCGTTCGATTGTGAATTGGATTTTTAGGTTAAGAAAGTTCAGAAAGATAAAGTGACCGGCGTTTCTCTAAATTTGTAGACAGAATATATTCCGAAGTTTCTCAAAAGTCCACCAAGGCCTTGCTGTCACAACTGTCCCAAGTGAACCTAACCTAACCTAGAAATAAATAAATTAATAAAACGATGAGGTTTGATGACTTTTGCGAAATTACTCAAGACATTCCGCATTCGGCTCCTACGAAAACCTGAATGTTCCTTGTGTTCTACAGACATCGAATCGGCAGAGATTTTGGCCGATTCTTTCACAAGCTCCTTCACGGTCGAGCCTCGAGATGACCAATTACCAAAAATTATAGTAGAACGACTACGTGATAATATGACTAATGTGTCGTTTACTTCGTAAAAAATTAAAAATCATTTATTGAACATGAAATCGAATTCATCTCCTGGTTTGAATGGAATGAGCCCCTTCTTTCTCAAGAAGTTTGCCGAAACTCTCTGCTCTCTGTTGTCAACAATTATGTCAGTCTCTTTCGCAAAATCTTGCATCCCACGGACTTGGAAGAAGGCATCTGTCACCGCTATTTTCAAAAAAAAGGGATAAACTCAATCCAATCAACTACAGGCCCATTAGTCTTTTATCTGTACCTTACAAAGTAATGGAATCCATCATCGTAGAAGATATGTCAGAATTTTCAACAAAAAACGCAATCATACCACCAGAACAACTTGGTTTCGTCAAAGGTTGATCAACCACCAGCAATCTACTACAATGCATGAACGATTGGACGACAGCTTACGACAGAAAAATACCGACAGATATCGTTTATCTTGACTTTGCCAAGGCTTCCAACAGGGTCCCAATGAGGAGGCTAATGCACAAACTTGACACACACGGTATTCGAGGCCAATTAAACCTATGGATTGAAAATTACATGACAGATAGAACTTTCTCGGTCAAAGTGGGTCACTCTTTTTCATCGCACAGACAAGTCACAAGTGGAGTTCCCCAGGGATCTGTTCTTGGCCCGCTCCTTTTCGATGTTTATGCAAGTGATCTTGCTCTTCACATAAAGTCCAGCAAGTCGTTCTATGCCGATGATACTAAACTGTATGGAAATGCCTTAGTCGAACATCATTCCCTTCAAGAAGACCTCAACTCGATTAGTCAGTGGTGCGAGGATTGGCTTCTACCTCTTAACGTCGACAAATGCGTCGACCTTCATCAAGGAAAGAACAATCCACTCCATACGTACACAATAATTACGTACAGTGTCCTCACATGTAGACTTGGGAGTGACTATTAATACCGACTTAACTTGGTCCGAACATATAATATCCACATGCAAACGCGCAAACATACTGATTTACCTCATCCGCAAAACGTTCCTTCATCTATCATATTCAAGTTCCATAAAACTCTATAAAACCTACGTTCATCCAATCATGGAGTATGCAGGTCCAGTGTGGTGTCCTGTTCTGGTGCGCGATGGGGGCTTGTTGGAAAATGTACAACGTCGAGCCACACGTATGACTTTTGGTGAAGTGCGTCCAACCTATCCCGAAAGACTGAGGATGGCACAACTGGCTAGCTTTTGACCAACGTCGACTTCGTGGGGACCTCATCATATCTTTCCGTATAGCTGAGTATAACTATGCTAATCAGAACATCGTTTTCAACAATGATTCGCGGTTACGTGGTCACACAGTCAAATTAAAAAAGGAAAAATTCGCAACGAGGCAGAGACAATATTTTTTGGTGAATCGTATTTTCGAAAAATGGAATAACTTACCCAACGATGTTATGAATTCCGACTCAGTGAACAGTTTCAAAAACAAAATAGACATATATTAATTATTTTTTTCTTCTTTTTGCATGCATTGTGTCAACTTGTTGGTATCCTTCGTTTTTAGGCTCACATAGGACGTTGTCCTCAGCCTTTATTTATATATAATAATAATATTGTTTATCAGTGAGATAACAGTGTGGTTGTGTCCAACAGGAATACTTTACTGATCAGCTGTATAGTTTTTTCCACCAAACATATCGTCTACAAGGAAACCACTAAGATCACTAGTATTTCTCCTGGGCCTGGCCTTGTATCTGTCATTTGTTCGAAACAATGTCTCGACTCTGATGAAGATGATCACTTGATGATTGAAACATATGTCGGGGTGTTGAAAATAACGGTTTGGGATAAAGCTCCAGTAATATTCATTACTACACCAAAGGTTCCAAATAGGGCATAATAAGTAATCAGAGTTTATCATTGTTTGTTGCCTCTTCTTTTCTATTAAACTAATCCCACTGTTTTTGAATTTATCTTGCTTCCTTATATACTCTTGGATAGTAACGGGTACCATCACCTCTTTTCGTGGTTCCAATGTAGACTGACCCCCACAGCTACAAGGAATTTGGTACACTCCGGATGTTGCTAATGGTTCTCTGGGGTCTTTAGCTCACCTCAGGTCTGATAGTTTTTGTTGACCTTAATGTTGGTTTCACGTCGGGTTTCTCTAAGATTCTCCCAATCTAATCATGATCAGCCTAGTTGGGGTTGCTTTGATGTTTGTTCTCTCTCCTAGATCGTATGGCCCGCTCGAATTCTCTTACGCCGTACCACGCTCTTGTTCGGTAGGGCTTTGGTCATGAGAACTTTAACATATTTGGAGCAAACTGCACTGAATCGCTATTGCAACTCAAACTCAAGTCTCAGAATTTCTTTATAATGCAATTGTTTCTCCAGAATCTTCAATGACTCGGAGCTGATATATAACTTCTACTGTGCTCTCAACTTCAAAGATGTCATGATAGCGAGCGGCAAACTCCATATAACAGATGACATCAACATACCGACTGCTCCTGATATTAACATCGGTCTGGAATACTCTGGCATCACGGACTCTGGAAGAAGAGTTATGGGTTTATTGGGATACGAAGCTATGTCTTTGCAGGTGCAGAGTGATCCCGCTTTCCTCTGGGATATCCCGGACAGCTGGAGTTTGAGAGACGCCGCTACGGTTCCTTGCGTTTATGCTACGGTAATGGAGGTATTTTTTTCATAACGATATGATTATTCTCCCCATTTTCAGAGCTATTATGCGTTAATCGTCAAAGGAAAAATGGTACCGGGAGAGTCCATATTGATTCATGCGGGAACCGGAGGCGTCGGAATGGCCTCCATTTGGATTGCTCTCAGTATGGGTTGCAAAGTATTCACTACGGTCGGCAGCCAGGAGAAGAGAGATTACATCAAGAAAATGTTTCCCAAATTGGAGGATAGAAATATTGGTATGTGACTAAGTGCAAAATTCAACAAGGTCTATTTCTCATAGTAGTCATTTAAAGGACAATTCGCTCAGAGGACCATATTTCACGTATATTTTCTTCCTTACCATCTTTATTCCTTTTGAGGAGCCGCTGTGATTTATTTCAAAAGGCCAACTACGAGAAATCGCCTACGGTTCGTTTTGATTGGTCTACCTGTAATGTTTTCTTCTTTTTGATAGATTAGTCGAGAGTATTTATCGTCCTTGATACTCCACAAATGTGTGAATATCTGAGATCCACCAATTTGATTGAGAAAGATCGATTGGGGCTTGGATCAATCATAGAAAAACTATTATTATTTTTCATAACGTTTCAAAGTACTATTATCAGTACCCAGCACTCGAAAACGATACCATTAGGGGATGGGTCCACTAAATTCACGTCAATTCCAGTCCATTTAATATTTTGATAATCCATTTTATATTCCACGAGAAATTTTTACGTTTCTTTCATGTCCTCTCAAGTCTTTTCTCTTGATACAAAATATTTCTGCGACTGGATGCCGTTTCACGTGGATTTCACTAGTTCGAATAGCTGAAATATCAATTATATATAAGCAATAAACGTGAAATGAACAGAACTGCTATTTTCAACTAAAGGACGAATTCTTTACGCAAGATTAGGGACTGCCAATGGGATCGCTCCTTTCACCAGTCATATATGTATATGGAGTGATTTGAAACTCTGGCCATTACAAAAGCCCTGAGTCTGAATGAGATACGTTGGCGACACCTTCATGGTATGGATGAGAAACCAGCAACTTGGGAATGTTTAGACTCATCAACATAACATCAAGTACTCCTAAGCTGAGATCATCCACAGGGAGGAACAGTGGTTCGAGAGGAAGTTCAAAGAAGCTGCATATATGTTGTCCAACGACGCATTTAGCTAAGATAGCGTTGAGATAGGCAACATATGGAAACCTATTATGAGGCGGGAAAATGGTCAACTCCCACTAAACCGTTGAAGCGGAGAGAGGAAATAGGGGATAGGTGAAAACGATCAAAATACCTATAAATAGCCATCGCTCGAATGGATATTCTAGTCAATACCCGATGACAATTGTGGACACTAACAATCAAAACGTCGTGAAGTTACTTGATTTGAGATATTTTTTAATTTCTTCAATTCCTTTTCTTTTCGTTTTATGGTTGTTTTCATTTTTTTATTCTTTTTACATTACTTTTTACTCTGTGGTCATTTTCATCTTTTATCTTGATTATTTTATTCGTTTCATTGCTTATATATGATTAGTATTTCAACTATTCTTTCTAATTTTATCCATTCTTTCATCGATTTTGAATCATGTGAGACGATGGACATTGGATGTCAAAAATAGTAAAATTCATCATGAGACATTGTCAACCACTTTCAAACGAATCATTTCACGCATTGTTCTTCGTTTATAGTGAATAAAATATAGTTTTTGTAGACTCTTTAGCTAACTCAACTCATCTCACCTCATCTCATCTCATCTCATCTCATCTCATCTCATCTCATCTCATCTCATCTCATCTCATCTCATCTCATCTCATCTCATCTCATCTCATCTCATCTCATCTCATCTCATCTCATCTCATCTCATCTCATCTCATCTCATCTCATCTCATCTCATCTCATCTCATCTCATCTCATCTCATCTCATCTCATCTCATCTCATCTTATCTTATCTTAACTTGACTTAATTGCAATTTAATTTGGCATTCATGATGATTCTCAAATCGTAATCAATGAACTTATTTTTACAGGAAACTCAAGAGACGCCTCTTTTGAAAAAATGATTATGAAAAATACCAAAAGAAGGGGCGTAGATCTGGTACTGAACTCACTGTCGGGAGAATTATTCCAAGCTTCGTTGAGATGTGTTGCAAAACACGGGCGATTCCTGGAAATTGGAAAAGTGGATTTATCCAATGGAACCCTGATAGATTCCAAAGTATTTTTGAGGAATTGTAGTTTCCATTCTGTACAACTGAACGAGTATATAAATTCTAAATCTTTATGTAAAAAAGAATTACATAATCTCGTTAAAGAAGGTAATTTAATAAATATCATAAGCTGTCTGTTCAAATTTCATTTTTATCAAAAAATATTCAGTAATTCATCAATTTTTTCATCAATATCTTCAACGGTTTTTCATGAACTTTTATTCTCAAGAAACTCACTCGCGATCTGCGTTTCCTCTCTATCGCATATCTGTGTCACATCTACACCGCGCGTGCATATAAAGAAGGTATAATGACAATAATAATCGTGGAAGTTCTCAAACTCTGGGCATCCCAACTCAAGAGACCAAGTTAGAATGAACGAACTGTACACATGCATAGAAGACTAATTCAACTTTCGATTTGACATTAATTTGGACAATTTTTTCAATAACGTAGGTATTTTGGAATATCATTGCTAAATACTTCGCGTCCTCCATTGCTCCATTTTTGAACGTTGAAACGATACAGCTTCGTTCAACTGTCATGTTGTTTCTTGAATGATGTATTTTAACGCATTCTGTACGCATGTTGAAACCTCAGGTGCTCTTAGTCTTCGTCGTCATCTCATTACCTTACAATTTATATCAAGCCGTATTCCCAACCCTTCATGCCTAATTTTTACACCAGCAACGCTTCATACGCTACATCGCCCCATAAAGAACGATTTATTTCACAAGCGACAACACGGACCCTGTGATGCTTGCGCTGGCCTCGCTGGCCGTTATCTTTGGAACAGATCACCTCGATGCCACCTCCATCATTCTCTACATCGATTACGTCACACATGTGACGATGCACGACCTTGAAATGCGCCAGAAGAGACATTGTTGTCCTACTTATTCCTTCGTGCATTTTATTTTTTCATGAATATTGATAAATTCATACCATCAAGAACCGCAATAGGATACGTTATCCTTGTTTTTTGTTTACCGCCTCACTTTCTGAAGTCGTAGGTCCATTTGTATTTTTTACTATCTGCATGTTAATCATGTAATTTTTCAAGGACAAACATTATGGTGATCATTCGTTAGTTTTTTATCTCAAACACGCTGTAATCAACTTTTGAAAAAATAAATTAAATCGCAGTTTTTTGTAGGAATATCATATGGAGTGGTCAAGCCCTTACCAAGTACAGTCTTCAGTGAAACAGAAGTAGAAGAAGCCTTCAGATTCCTGTCGTCCGGTAAACACAAAGGAAAGGTTTTGATTGAAGTGAGAAAAGAAAATCCGGCCACCTTAAGATCTCCATGTAGAAAAATGACGGCCATTCCGAAAATATATTTTGATCCCAATAAAACATATATTTTGATAGGTGGATTGGGGGGTGTAGGCCTGGAAATGGTACATTGGCTGGTTAGTAAAGGAGCAACCAAAATCATTTTGAATTCCAGAAGGACCATTAGCACTGGTTATCAGTCGTATTGCTTCAAGAAATGGTCCCAATACAAGGATGTGATCATCGATATCAGCACAGATGATACAACGACAATCAAGGGAGCTACAGAACTCATCACCAAAGCTGAAAAACTCGGACCTGTTGGAGGTGAACAATATTATGATAGTAATTGTGTGAATAGAACTCTTGCTGCTTGATGTTACAAAACTATTTAAAGAGTGGTTTTCTTTTTTATTGAAAAAAGGGCCGTTTCTCCTCTCATTCAATTGTTTCAATATGTTTCAGTTATCCCTGATCAGTTGACTGAATGAAAAATTGTACGCTATTTCCTAAAACTATCTTTGAAAAGCTCTCTTCCATATCACTTTTTTTTCTGATTGATTCGGCCGTTACTTGATGAAGATCTATAGTAATTTCAAAAACTTCCATATCACGTTTATGGATACAAAAAAAACATTAGCTATGTCACTTAGAACTTTCAAAATTTCCTTCAGCATTAGATGTTTCATGATTTGCTTTTCTAATAATTTTGTTGCTCTGCTCGCTGTTGAAGACTTCTGATTTCTTTATGATACAACCAACATTCTTCCTTCTAAAAAATGCAATAACTTTTGGGAAAGTTGCTATGTAACACGAACAATTTTTATTCACTTTTATGACTTTCTTCCAGGTATTTTCAATTTGGCACTTGTTCTGAGGGACGCGATGTTACTAAATCAAACCAAGAGTAATTTTGAGGATGTATTCCGTGTGAAGATCGTTTCGGGACAAAACATGGATATTGTTTCACGTGAACGTTGTAAAGAACTCGACCATTTTGTAGTATTTTCGTCAATTGCTTGTGGAAGAGGAAATATTGGTCAGGTTAATTATGGAATGGCCAATTCGGCATTGGAAAGGCTTTGCGAAAAGCGAAGACGAGAAAATCTTCCAGGTTTAGCCATTCAATGGGGCCCCATAGCAGACGTTGGAATTCTTGAAAGGGCCGGCGTTGATGACAAGGTTAGTTTTTGTGAGGATTTGTGGGTCGTTAGTGAACTATCCAACTTTTGTTGAACACTTACTATCACAAGACGGTTAAAAAAGGGTATATTGAGAATTAACTGAGAGCTTGACAGAGGACAGTAATTTTCTCATATGCCACAACTGTCACGGGCAATAAATATGGCCTAGGCTTCTGAAGCCGTTGACCACTTACCTAGAGTTGTCTCGTTGAAGGTTTGTGGCATGCTGCTCATTCTTATTTCAATAAGCCAACACTGCTCACGTTTATAATTCAACAATGATAATAATGAAAATGAACTTAAGTAACAATTGAATGATATCCATTAGTTTTCTTGAGGAAGAATCCACTTGTGCTTTTTCATCGCAGAAGAATGTTACACTCAGAAATCGAGATAGAGAAAGATGTGTAGATCATGCAAAAAAGTAACTTTCAGACAAAAACTGGAAGAAAAATCCCTCTTGAAACAACTAATTTCATATAAACATTGTATTATACAAAAGAACAAATCGTTTCGGGACAACTACTTCCAGTTTGTACACCAAACATTCGTATAAAATATATTCCTTCCAATTTGGAGAATGCTCTATCATTGACAAATGTATGTCCCTCCAATGATTATGAAAGCTGTCTTTCATAAAATTTGGCTCAGAAATTCCTTACAGATATTGAGAGAATTACTATAATTCTATTCTATAAGAAAATTTCAGAAACAACGGTGTATCCTCTGTATCTATTCCTTTAACTTGTATTAGTGGTAAATAATAACCAATGTTGCTTGGCAACACGATATGCCACAATTAATATGCAAAAACCTAAATGGAATTGGATACCTCCAAACTGTGAACAAGGTTTTTCAAATCAACCTAAGCAACATGCTTCACAGTTGGTGACGGGAAAAAAAGGTGGTGTTAGTTGGTAATGAAATTCATTACATAGATTATAAATTCCTTATTATCTTCATTAACACACACCCATGTTTCAGCAATTTTTCAAAATACAACTGTCAAAAATATTTTGGAAAGAAAGATTTTGGCTTTTTTCCTTCCTTCGGAAATTTTCAACATTTTTGTTTGAAGATGGAGACCCAAAAAATGTCTGTCCCAAACACAAATTATGACTTGAAAAAACCTCTGAACTCTCATTGCATTACTTTATACAGTGCTAGTCAAAAGTCCCCTCCCCCCCTCGTATCTTTTGAACGAGTATACTTCTAATAATGAAATTTGGAGGGTGGAAATAAACGGATGTAGGCTTCTTAACTGGTCATAACAGGTGACGCAATAGTCATAAATGACGTCACAAGGCCACTGTGAACCGTTTATTTCCACCCTCCAAATTTCATTATTATAAGTATACCCGTTCCAAAGATACGAGGGGGGGAGGGGACTTTTGACTAGCACTGTATAGTCTTATCCCCAAAGTATGCACCATATGGGAAACTTACTTATGAAGGGTTTTTCGACAAAATGTTATTCTTGATAAAAGTTTTTGCATCCCCTAAAACTAAAAAGGCACCAACAAAATACAGTAAAACACACGTAATATACGAGGAACCTTTGAATACTTGATTTTGAGACAAGAGTAAAGAGAAATGTTATTTACCAAAGTTGTTCAGCATCAAAAAATACATCTAGATTTGAAGTAATGGCCAGTTAAGTGAAGTTTAATTTTTTTACCCATTTTTTTAATGGGACTACGAAAAAAAAAAGTTGCTAAAACGATAAATATACAGCATCCTGTATAAGACGGTTTATTTTAAAAGCCTGTAATATTACAAATTACACAACTATGGTGTTAATCACGGTCAATTTTTTGGTTCAAAGCTATTTTTATTTTTTGTTAACACCGAAAATTACTCAAAATTATACAGTATTGTAACAAGAACTCAATATTCATGAAAATCAAATCAAAAAACATCAAAATAAAATAGGTATTTCGGAACAAACTCATTGATTTCCTGGAGATTTCCTTGTCCAAAATAATTCTCCAAAATAATCTCCAAAATACCTATTTTATTTTGATGTTTTGTGATTTGATATTATTGAATATTAAGTTTTTGTTACAATACTGTATAATTTTGAGTAATTTTCGGTGTTAACAAAAAATAAAAATAACTTTGCACCCAAACTTTTTGAAAATTATTTTACTCTTCAAAAAATTTACCGTGGTTAACACCATAGTTGTGTATTTTGTAATAATACAAGTTTTTCAAATAAATTGTCGTATACAGAATACTTTCTATTTATCGTTTAAGCAGAATTTTTTTCCATAGTCCCCATTTTAAAAAAATTAATAACATTTCCAGAGATTTTCCAAAATGCGAGTAAATTACTATTGCCTGAAAATCAAATAGTTGAAGGCTCCTCGTATATTACGTGTGTTTTACTATATTTTGTTTGTGTATGTTTAGTTATAGGGGATGCACAAACTTACATCAGGAGTAAATTTTTGTCGAAAAACCTTTAATAAATAAGTTTCCCATATGGTGCATACTTTGGGGATGACACTGTATGTATATTACTATCCCAACACCAAACCCTTATTTTTAACATCTCGACACGTGTTTCAATCAGCAAGTAATCATCTTCAAGAGGAAGATTTAACAACAGTTTAACATTTCTCTTGAAGATGATCACTTGGTGACTTAAGCACGTATCGAGGTGTTAAAATAAGGGTCAGGTGTTGAGAAAAAACTCCAGTAATATTCAATACTACACCAAAGGTTTCAAAAAGTGCATCACAAGTACCTTCTTATTATGTGACTGATCCCAAAAATTGTATTATTTCTAGATTTTCAATTATCTCGTACCCCAGAACATCACTTGCTGTTTCAACTCTATGGAAAAGTTTATGATACAATCAACCATCGTTGGTTCTAGTACTGTATTAGCAGACAGAAGTGGAAAGTCTACAATGCGTGTTACAAGAAGCCCTGTCGAAGCTGTAGCCCATATCATGGGGATCAAGAATTTAGGTATGCCAATATCAAACCTTTAATAAACGCCTTGATATCTCAATACACAATCTATTTTCAGATTTGGTCGATAAGTCGCTCACTCTCTCTGAGTTAGGACTTGATTCGTTGATGTTGGCCGAAACAAAACAAACTTTATACAGGAACTATCAGATTGAACTTGAAACTGATGAAATTAGGGACTTGACGCTAGAACACTTGATATCTTTGGGAATCGAGAAGAACGAAGCCAGTACTCCTGAGAACCCAGGCAAAATAGAAGAATATGTTTACCCCCAAAAAAGGAACATTATGGTAGTAGATGAAGGCGTAGTGAAGTTGAAAAATTCTAAAGCCTTTAAGAAAAATGTATTCCTTCTCCATCCTATTGAAGGTAGCATCAATGACCTCATACCTATAGCAAAAGACATAAAAGCCAACGTCTATGGATTACAAGACGCCAAAGATAATGAGTGTGATAACATTCCGAACATTGCTAGGTCTTACATAAAGCATGTGAAAAACATACAACCGAAAGGTCCTTATCTCTTCTGTGGTTACTCATTTGGTGGGGTATTGTCGCTTGAGATGGCTAATCAACTGGAAAGCGAAGGAGAAGTTGTTGACATCGTGTCTATAGAAGGATCAACCCAATTCGTCAAAAATACTCTAGAACCAGGTTTCGCCAGGGTTGGTAAATCGGTAGACAAAGCCAAATTAGCTATTTTGGGATCGTTCTGCTCTTACTTCCCTGAAGTGAGCCAACAAGAAGTGAGTCATTTTTCAATGTACCTTACATATTTTATTTCACCCAATCTATGAATCAATGGTTTCCATTAACTTCCCAAATCTACATATTCCCTGATGAGAATTTTCCTATCGATTTCTTTACAATTTTTGTGGATACACTGAAAAACGGATGATGTATTAGAGCACCACCACATTACTCCACATTAATAAATTATTTGAAAACTACTTTTCCCGGTCGTTGGATTGGCCAGAGAGGTGCTACAGAATGGCCAGCCCGCTCGCCAGATTTGACACCTTTGGACATTTTTTTATGAGGCAATTTGAAGCAAAAGGTGTACCAAACTGAACCTGCTTCAATATTGAATATACGGCAGAGAATAATAAATATTTTTAGATATATTGACGTTACTGTGTTCGAAAATGTTCGGCGTGAAATATCGGATAGACTATTCATATGTCAAGAAGTTCAAGGCAACCATTTCGAGCATCTCCTGACCTGACCTCAAGCTTATTATGTAGTTGAATGTCAATGTATTCAGGCAATTATTAAAAGTTCCGCCATTTTGTAGTAGGTGAAGATATTGACATTATTTTCTAGGGTTGTGAAGCATTTCTCAGGAGCTTCAGAAATATGTGTCACAAGACCCCTCTTTCAAAAAATAAAATGGGGGGGCATTAAAGAAAAGCACTGTATATTTATCATAGATATTGTTATTATGTTTTACATGTTGTTTCAGGTTATTGCTTGCTTATCGGGATCACAGAGCTTTGAAAGCAAACTTCAGGACGCCAGTAAATTGATATCTAAGAAAACAGGCATCGATAGTAATGAAATTGCTATGTCTCTAATAAAATATGAAAGAAGGTGTGCAGCTGCATATCATTATGAACCAAAGAGTATATTCAAAGGAAAAATTGTGCTGATAAGGAGAGTCAATAACCCATTTGAAAAATCAGAACACTACGGACTACAAAAGGTAAAGAGCGTTTTTCATAATTCGAAATTCTTGTAGAAAAATCGTGTGAACTGTGATGAAAGTGTAGAACAAGCTTCATATATTTTGCAGAATCTGCCTAAACTAACAAACAAATATTTTTTCTCAAAAAAAAACAAATATGGACAAATTCTTCATGATCTGAGGATGTACTTTCATCAATCAATCAATCTTAAAACAAACCGTATTTGTAAGTTTACTAAATTATCTGTCAATTCGTATTTTTTACACACTTTATAATAGCTTCACCTGCATGTATGTATGTATGTATACATGTATGGATGTTTGTATGCTTGTTGTATGTATGCTTGTATGCTTGATGTTTGTATGCTTGTATGCTCGGGATCTGTATTGATAGAATTATCGGCATTATTGCTTGATCTATTCGCGGGCAGAAGGCGCTGTACGTAATCTCCTTGATATTTCTTGATCTATTCGCGGACAGATGGTGCTTTACATAACTATCAATTATTGCTTGATCTATTCGCGGGCAGATGGCGCTGTACGTTACCTTCTTGATCTATTCGCGGGCAGATAGCGCTGTATGTAACCTCCTTGATAGGTGGTTCAAAATAAAATCAAAATTAAAAAAATATTTTTAGAATTATAAGTGTTAGCGAAATTTTGTACTACAGATGATTTCAAGCCCTAGTCTGAACGATCGATCTTCACTTGCTATCGTCCAACCCGTGTTAGGAATCACACGTTAAAAGGTAAGACCTCGTTAATCCTTAGCTCGCACAAGTTTCGACTTCTGAGGGTTGTCGTTCGTAGGGGTGCGACAGCTGGTTTACGGAAAAACAGAAACGGAAACAAAAACATGTACAAGTAGGCTTCAAGTTGAAGATCAATCTGATCTTCTGGGAAAAAGTACCCGACTTGAGGTTTTAGCGCAACCCCATAGAATAATGTTTTACGTAATATGTGAGTAACTGAAGTTATGGTATACGTTTAATTATTGTCCCTTTCGTCAGCTCATATCGTCAGCTAGGAATTTTGTAGATTTCGAAATCACAACAGTATGGCTGGGAAAGTTCGTTGAATTTTCTGCTTTGAAAAGAACTGCATTCAGATAGTTTTGTGAGAATTGCGATAAAAAGTATGTTGGTCAAACTAAGCGGATTATAATAACTTGCTATAAGGAACATATTTCCCATATTAGATTTCATAGGAGTCCAGTGTTGCTCAACATAAAGAAATTGAAATTGTTGAGATCGGTTTATGACAAATCGAGAGACAGCATTTTTGTTCTGTACTTATCAAATTAGAACACTAGTTTGTAAATTCTTCTGAGTTGAATATCTCCTTCAATGTATACATAATAACCGCATTCTCTGCAAATATAACAGTGCAATTCCCACGTTTTTTTTGTTTAAAGATGGAGAAGTTGAAGGCCAAAACTTTTCCCTTCCAAAAAGTTATCTCTCCTCAAATAATACCTCTTTCAACTCAGTAACATATTTTGATATTACTGAAAATACCACAAGGCGGAACAAAAAATGAAACACGCAGTTTCTACTTCTTCAGGACCTGATAATTTATCCTGATAAATAATTCGTCCGAATTATTATCTGTCAGAGATAATTTGCTGTTAGAATAACTATATCAAGAGGGGTGCCTCAAGGCTCTGATTTGGGACCCCTTCTATTTTTTGTTTTTATAAATGATCTTCCGGAAATTTGTCCAAAAGCTACCATTACTGTTATTTTTGCGGACGATACTAACATCTTAGTATCTGCGGGAACTATGTCCGAAGTAATTGTCAAAGCTAATGAAGTAACTGATCAAATTTCTGAGTGGTGTTCTATAAATGGCCTGTTAAATTCTGCTAAATCTCATATGCTCAACTTTGTTACTAGAAATACAATTTTTAAAAGCTGTTTGACATTAATATTTTGAATGAAACTTCAAATCAAAACATCAAGACTAAATTGTTTTTTGAAATTATTACTGCAAATTTTCTCTTTACTTCGAAACAAATTTTACAACTGTCCGCCCTCTGTTGGAGACTTACTGCATCTCAGTATTACCATAGAATTTGAGACCTCAAACTTTATCATGTTGTTTGAGAGGAATTTTACATTCGTGCAACGTCTGTTAAAGATTTATAATACTAGATACTATGCAAGTTGTTGAAGTTTTTGAGTATTTTTCAGTTCATTGACATGTGAAAACTAGATAGTTTTTTTTGAAAGGTAATTCTGCCTAGAATATAAAACATATGACTTTTACTAACCCAGGTAGATCTCCTGAAGCACATATTTTCATATGTTTTCATTTATAACTTCTTTCCTAGTAATAATATTGTATTGATTTGTGCTTTCTGGATCTACTTGTTTTGCCAAAAGTATTAATTTTTCTAATTGAGTTTTGACATAACATGCTAATATTTTACCTGTTTCCTAAAAGTAATATTATATTCTACCCAATTGTTCATTCAAAATCTACCTGGCTTACCAGATTTAATCATTTATCTGATTAGTTTTGTTATTACCTACTGAGATATAGAAATACCTGTAGAGTAATTTAATGTATCACTAACTGATGAAGCTACTCTGTAGCAAATAAAATTTATTGTGAAAATTCTATAATTATCGTCATGGATAAACCAATAATAGTACAATTTACTATCATAAAGTTTTTTCAAAAGTACTGCTAGAGATTTTTCATTGGAACAACAGAAAACATTAATTGCGATATCAATATTACATTTACAAAGTATGTAGAAACTAGCACCATAATCAAAATGAAGGCAATCAGTAAAGTAGAACATATATTTGACAATGAACATGTTTTGTGGGAAAAAGTTTGATTTTTATCAATTTATGATTTACAAAGCGAATTTTGACAATTATTCAGGATAATTTTCAAAAGAAAGCAAAAGCTAGAATTTCCAAATATTCCTGAGAACAAGTGACGGCAAGAACAAATTTATGTTATTAGGATTTCCAGAACTAGTCAATATTTCCTGAAAAAAAATATATCTACTTTTTTCTCACAAAAGCGTGTAAATATAAAAAAAAATTGAACTCTTTCTTCACTCCTGACAAAACTTCATTGTTTTCATTTTTCAAATCATTACTTTTCTGCTTCCTAGCCAATGGTGGAGAAGCATAACTTGAAAATCTATTTTGTTTGTTAACCTAATTTTTTTTTCAGCAATGCCAGCAGCCTGTTTCTATCATCAAATTGGAAGGAAATCACGAGACATTAGTCAAAGGTGACAATATTCCAAAGATTTCAGGAATCCTCAACGATTTTTTCACACTTCCTTAGAAATTAATGTTAATAATAATAAATAAGAAGTATCATGAAATTATGTTTTTTCACTTTAGTCCCCCTGTACTCTATCCTGTACTCTGTCACGAATAAAATATTTGAATTGTTAAATTAAAGTCACTGTGATTTTTTTCGTGTTAACATAAGTCATTCAAAATATTTGAAAAAACAATTACTTTCATAAATTCTGGTAGTTTTTTGTTTATTCTCATATTTTCAGATACCAAAAAATTCCAGTATATNATCACGACATTGTTCGCTATCACAGTAGCTTTTTTCCAGCGAAACATATCACACTATAATTCAATGCCACAAAAACCCAGGCATCGGTTTTCTCCAAAAAAGAGAAACGTCTCCGAAACGGATATAATAATGCAAGGACAGACAATTCCGTTTGTTTGAAGGTGGTTGAAAGACAACTCCGCTTTCAGCTTCGATAAGTTTGTCGGGGACACCAATATGAATAGTCTCCGGTTAGTTTCTGGGAACCCCGTGCAAAAATTCAGTTAGGAAAGCCAAGATAAAACAAAACATTACATCAGAAAGTAAAAGCACCTAAAGGCTGACTTTCAACTGGAGGAGGTCAGATGTCAATCTTGCTGAATAAGTGCCCATTGTCAGGGACACCGATATGTCTCGGCAAACTCAAGTCGCTGGAATTGCAAAGGCTTGCTTCTCAAAAGCTTGGAACACTGTTCTGAACCAGAAAACTGTACACATTTCAGCAACTCCTGATGCTTTATGAAGCTCAGATTAGACCTTCAGATCGACCGCGATCTTTTTTAAACAATAGTCTCCGGTTAGTTTCTGGGAACCCCGTGCAAAAATTCAGTTAGGAAAGCCAAGATGAAACAAAACATTAGATCAGAAAGTAAAAGCACCTAAAGGCTGACTTTCAACTGAAGGAGATCAGATGTCAAATTTGCTGAAGTGCCCATTGTCAGGGACACCAATATGTTTCGGCAAACTCATGTCGCTGAAATTGGAAAGGCTTGCTTCTCAAAAGCTTGGAACACTGTTCTGAACCAGAAAACTGTACACACTTCAGCAACTTCTGATGCTTTATAAAGCTCAGATCAGACCTTCAGATCGACCGCCATCTCTCTTAAACAATAGTCTCGGGCTAGTTTCTGGGGACCCAGTTAGGAAAGCCAAGATAAAACAAAATATTAGATCAAAAAGTAAAAGCACCTAAAGGTCAGATGTCAATCTTGCTGAAGTGCCCATCAGTAAGCTGAGGACCGCTCTGGAGGAACGGGGGTGGATGGACGAGATGGGATGTTCCGCACACAGTAACCGGGGAAGATATCAACTCAGGGCACTCGACCCGGGAGGGGGCATGGGGGGGTGGACCCAGTCGACGCTTCAGCGTAGTCAGATTGAGACCCTGGTGTCAATTATACATATATTTTTAGAAACTGTTCGTTCAGGTTGTCTTCAAAAAACAAACTAATTATTTCAAGAGTGGGTGGTACCTGGTGTGACCATGAAAGAGTTGATTCTTTCTTCAGCATTCCATCCAATTCGCTTGTTTTCAAATTCAACATATCTACGTCATATTATTACCTTATTAATATTGCCGTTTGCCTTCAAATTGATACGAGAATCGAAAAAATCCTACAATAGAAATTACAACCAAATCATGTAAAGCACAATTGGTTGATAATCTATTTTCAGTAACACCATCATACATTATTTTATTCATGAACAAGAACAAAGTAACCTTGTTTAAAGTACATGACGTCAATAATGTTTATGCACATGAGTCTGATCAAAACAGCGTTGACTAAGTCGTCTCTCCATTTTAATACCACTTTCATTTCCATAATCCGAAAGTGAAATCATTTATGTGTTATAACAAGACACAATTCTAGTGCTATACACAGGGTGGGGAACAAATTCAGATACTTACGTGTGTTTCTTGATGTTTTTTGGGTATTTAATCTTTCACGAAATGGATTTGGATCTACAGAAAATCTGCTCACGTGTAATAAACTGAAGAGTGATGTCTTGGCCAACGTCGTTCGCAAAGAAATATTGACCAATGACGCCGCCAGCCCAAAATCCACATAGTCTAATCAACTAGTTCAAAAACATGAAAAATAGAGATAAAGGTCCTGAAAATTTGAGCGATAGCTCATTCGATTCGGAATCACCTCTAGAAAAATGTTTTTGAAGGATTTTGATGCAGGTAAAAAATTGTAATTGTTATTAACAAAATAAGNTTAGGAAAGCCAAGATAAAACAAAACATTAGATCAAAAAGTAAAAGCACCTAAAGGCTGACTTTCAACTGAAGGAGGTCAGATGTTAATTTTGTTGAAGTGCCCATTGTCAAGGACACCAATATGTCTCGGCAAACTCATCTCGCTGGAATTGCAAAGGCTTGCTTCTCAAAAGCTTGGAACACTGTTCTGAACCAGAAAACTGTACACACTTCAGCAACTTCTGATGCTTTATAAAGCTCAGATCAGACCTTCAGGTCGGCCGCCATCTCTCTTAAATAATAGTCTCCGGCTAGTTTCTGGGGACCCAGTTAGGAAAGCCAAGATAAAACAAAATATTAGATCAGAAAGTAAAAACACCTAAAGGTCAGATGTCAATCTTGCTGAAGTGCCCATCAGTAAGCTGAGGACCGCTCTGGAGGAACGGGGGTGGATTGACAAGATGGGATGTTCCGCACACAGTAACCGGGAAAGATATCAACTCAGGGCACTCGACCCGGGAGGGGGCATGGGGGGGTGGACCCAGTCGACGCTTCAGCGTAGTCAGATTGAGACCCTGGTGTCAAGTCACAAAACCCTTAAAGCGTGTCACTACTTGAGTAGTAGGCAGACTGAGATCTGTGTATGAGGCTGTGTATGAGGCTGCAGATGAAACTTGGATACATCATTATAGGACCGAAACAAAAATACAGTCCAAACAGTAGACTGCAAAGGGGGAACCTGCTCCAAAAAACTGTTTTTTCGGCTGGGACAATGTTGGCGATAGTCATGGAGCTATTTTAATCGATCATCTTCAAAAAGGAAACACTATCAAAGAAGCATACCTCGCATTATCATCCGCCTCACTCATCAAATCTATCCCCCTCTAAAAATTGCGCTCGGAGGATAGAGGTTCATCATATGAAGAGGCAATCACCTTCGCGAACAATTATTTTGCATAGAAAAACGCCCAGTACTATTTTGGCGGGTTACAGAGATGGGAGACTATGTTGAAAAAAAATTGTTGAAATGTCTTATATCTTTGTTGAGTCGGGAACTTCTCAAATCACCCTCGTAAACACTATCGTAGTGACCAATCGTAGTGCTTCCATCCCCGGCTAGGCAGTCGCGGTCGTAAATTATCTTCCAAATTCATGAAAATAAACACAATTAGAAATGCATGTTCAATTATATTTATAACGCAATGAATGAAAAAAATGCTTATGGCAATTCGTCGATATTAAAATTATGCAGCATTTCTAAACCAATCACCTTATGAGTTATTGAAAATGATTGATCGAGGCTTCAAATGGAGTGAATGTGGATTAAACCGATAATTTCGAGACATGCAATTTCTGACTCAGTATTATAATTTTTATTTGGGCGAATTTTTTTGAGTGACCGGTATGTATGTGGGTTTAAGAATGAAAGGGAAAGGATAGAAATGCTTTTTGATTTCCTTGAATGTTATTATATGGGTGGAAGATGAAGAAATTTAAAAAGCTAACCTGCATATTATTACTTCAGTTTCAAATTGTAGATGTGTAGCTGATTTGAGACTGATATTTTCGAATATTGAATGAATCATAATATGTATATTACTAAAGTTGCTTCTCAAAAGCGTGGAACACTGTTCTGAACCAGAAAACTGTACACACTCCAGCAACTTTTGATGCTTTATTTATTTATTTCATTCACTATTCTACAGGGTGAACCCAATTCCAGAATAAGGAGTGACAGTGGCATTTACAAATATGTACTTACACAATATAATTTGTGAATCCAGATAAAAAAAATAAAGAAAACAGAACTGTCAGTTAGCTAAGAAATATCTTTTGATTTGTATAATCTGGCAGTTGAATATATCTAGGACATGACTAACTGAGCTTTATAAAACTCAGATCAGACCTTTTTTGGAGTATTGTTCTCAGGTATGGAGCTCACCCCTAAGCATACCCTGAAGCTGCTGGATTCTATCCAGATAGTCTGGAACATCGAACAAAGTATTCAAGTGACTTGGCACATTTGCTTCCACCAAGAGCGATTCATATCAGAAATACGCGACGAACTGTGGCTACTCATCGTTTTGAAGTTCAATCCAATTTGAATCGCTATGTGTGCACAGGCACCGCTCTTAGAACGCCTTAAGAATTTTCCTGTAGTGCTTGTGTTTTGTATTTCAATACCGCTCGAGGGGTACTGTAGATGACATAATAAGGAAGAAGAAGTTTAGGTTGAAAATAAACGAAATCTCGACTTTTAAAAATTCGCGGGC